CTTCCTGGTCTTGAATTATGTTATTTTTATTGTCATAGAGTGTCCTAGCCTTTGGTTTGAAATTTCCTTTGATTTCCGAGATCTTGTGAAATAGATCTCTTGTTCTTCCCTTTTTGTTGTTGCCTTCTATTTCTCTGCATTGGCCGCTGTAGTAATTTTCTTTATCTTTCCACACAAGCCGTTATACTGTTGCATTCATAATTCTTTGTTTGTTCCTATCTCCCTTTTGTTTTTCTTCTCTTCTTTTCTTTACTGCTTGTTTTTTTCTGTCATCCATGGTTTTTTCTCTTTCTTTTTATTTATTGAAAGTGCCTGTCTGCATGCCTCTTTTATTATGTTCCTGGTTTCAGAGTATAGGTATATTTTGTATAATTATTTCTCATTTCTAGTGACAGCACCAAAAGCTACATTTTCACTCTCTATGCCTGGAATAGTATCAGATGTTCTTGCTCCATATGTTCAGACTAAAAACAGTGTAAGGAAATTTCCATGAGCCAATGGTTTAAATAATGTGATTGCTTCTATGAGATCCCCTGAAGGAATAATTTTGTTGCATGGCACTGAATAAGAATACAACTTTCACACAACACTGTGTGAGGAAAACCCTTCCATAATTAAAAAGGGTGTATTCTATGTTCAGGTACTCATGCTATAATTGCCCATTTAATTTTCTTTCACAAGGCTCAGTGTGAGATCTCTTGATAATTCAGTGCAGCAAGAGAAAGGGTGTGGTGTGCACAATTTCACAGTACATCTTCATTTGCATTGTGCAGTCATAGCCACGGCATTACCCTCTGCTTAGAAATGGACTCTCCAGCACAATTTTCAGTATCCTTCTCATGGGAAATGTTACATCTTCTCATCAGCTCCACATAGATGGACATGGGTTGGAACCAGTTAAAACATGAATAGATTACAGTTGAAACCACAAAGATATATTATCTGCTAGGAAGAGTTATCCTAACAGGTTACAGCAGAGATAAAGCAGAGCGAGGGAAGCAGCACCCTTCCATTGACACCATTGAGACAAGCCTCGGTGCCTTTTCTTTTCTCGCACTATCCATTAGTTTCAAAGATAAATTATTTGGAACAGTGTGTTCTCTTGGTGAAGTGCTGGTTTGTGGACTACAGCTTAAATTAATGCATCTTAACATTTCAAGAACTTATTAGGCCGAGAGCAGCCTCTACATGTAAAAGAAGAAGAAGAAGAAGAAGAAGAAGAAGAAGAAGAAAAGAGCAGCTCCTTCCAACAGTTTCTCTTTGAAGAACCCACAGCTATCAAAGATTCCTATAACTAAGACCTGATGCCTTCCATATACTTTGCAAAGACATCATTTCACTACAAACACTTTATTTTTCCTTCTTTTTATAGCACGTCATTGTGTAGAATTCTACAAAACACACAGATTAATTTATACTGTAGATAGATGAAAATCTCTATTTTCTTATTTTGTTCACAAAGTGTTCCTTGGAAGTATGAGCTTTATCTTCTGAGAAAATTCTAACATTTAATTATTTTCCATATTTGGATTTGGTTTGGCCTTTGGGCTCTTCTAGAATTATATCCACACAGTTCAATTATTGCGGTCTATAACACTTTAACACCATCATATGGAATCCTGAGATTGGTAGTTTGGTGATATTCTCATAATTCACTAGTGCTCTCTCCTGAAATACAGAATTAGGACTCTTTGACAGAGAATTCTAAGTACCTTACAAATCTACAAATCCTAGGACTGTGTAGGCTGGTGC